CAGGCCTATCTCAAAACAAGAAAAATCTCAGATAAACAATCTAACTTTACACTTAAAGGGACTTGAAAGAACAACAAACAAAGCCCCCAAAAGAAGGAAATTAAATAAAGAGCAGGGCAGAAATAAACAAAATAGAGTTTTAAAATGATACAAAAGATCAATGAATCCAAGAGCTGCCTCTTTGAAAAGATAGGCAGGATTGACAAATCTTTAACCAGACTCATCAGGAAAAAAAGAGAGGACTCTAATAAATAAAATCAGAAATTAAAGAGGAGAAATAACAACTGACACCAAAGAAATACAAAGGATTGTAAGGAAATATTATGAACAACTATATGTCAACAAACTGGGCAGCCTGGATAAAATGGATGAATTCCTAGAATCATACAATCTTCCAAAACCAAATCAGGAAGAATCAGAGAATCTGAATGGACACATTACACCTAGTGAGGTTAAAGCAGTTATTGAAAAACTCTCAACAAACAAAAACCCTGGACTGGATGGCTTCACAGATGAATTTTATAAAACATTTTAGGAAGAACTAATACCTTTGCTTCTCAAACTATTTCAAAAAATTCAAGAGGAGGGAAGGCTCCCAAGCTCATTTATGAGGCCAGCATTATCCTAATTCCAAAACCAGATATAGACACTACAAAGAAAGAAAATTACAGGCCAGTATCACTGATGAATAGATGCTAAAATCCTCATTAAAATATTAGCAAATGCATCAAATACAGCAGTGCATCAAAAAGTAAACACACCATGATCAAGTGGACTTTATTCCAGGAATGCAAGGTTGGTACAATATTTCCAAATCAATAAATGAGACTCATCACATAAACAAAATGAAGGATGAAAACCACAGGATTTTGGGTGGGTGGGTTGGGAGTAAAAGATAGAAAATTGTATTGCAACAACAATTAAAATTAAAAAAAAACCCACAGGATTATCTCAATAGATGCAGAAAAAGTACTTGATAAAATCCAGCACCCACTTATGATAAAAACTTCCAGCAAAGTGGGAAGAAAGGAAACATACCTAAACATAATTAAGGCCTGTATGACAAACCTACTGCCAGAATAATACTCAACAGGCAAAAACTATAAGCGTTCCCCTTAAGATAGGGAACAAGATAGGGATGTCCACTTTCACCTCTCTTTTTCAACTTAGTACTGGAAGTCCTAGCCACAGCAATCAGACAAGAAGAAATAAAAGTCATCCAAATTAGAAGTAAAACTGTCTTTATTTGCAGATGACATGATACTGTACATAGAAAACCTGAAAATTATACCAAGAAACTACTAGAACTGATAAATGAATTCAGCAAAATAGCAGGATAAAAAAATAAATATCCAGAAATCAGTTGCATTTTTATATGCCAATAATGAACTAACAGAAAGGGAAATTAAGAAAACAATCCTATTCACAATTGCTTCAAAAAGAATAAAATACCTAGAAATAAACCTAACCAAGGATGTAAAAGACCTGTACTCAGGAAATTATATGACACTGAGAAAGGAATTGAAGAAGGAATACAAACAAATGGAAGCACATACTGTATTCATGGATAGGAAGAATTAACATCATTAAAATGCCCATATCACCCAAAGCAATCTGTAGATTCAATGTAATTCCCATTAAGATTCCAATGATGCATTTCACAGAACGAGAACAAATATTTCAAAAACTTATATGGAACCACAAGAGGCCCCACATTGCAACAACAATCCTGACAAAGAAGAACAAAGTTGGAGGAATTATGGTACCCAAGTTGCAGGTCCAATCCCCTCTCAGGGCACATACAAGCAACCAATGAATTCATAAATAAGTGGAACAACAAATGGATGCTTCCCTCCCTCCCTCCCTTTCTCTCTGTCTCTCACCAATTTTTAAAAAAGAATGGTTACTTATATAGGAAGACTGACCCAGTAAGTAACTATATTAAGGATAACAGGAGGTAGGAGTCTCCCAATCACAGAAGGGAGTTACAAATTTGGGAAGGCAGAAAACTAGAATAAATCCAGCAGCAGGACTGCAGTTGGAAGGATTGGTGTGCACTGGTTTTCAAGACAGATCATAGGTAGATATAAAATCAATACAATGCATGTACACACACACACACACACACACACAATATACACATACAGTCCCAAGCTCTGTCTGCTGAAAGGGTCTGGGAGTGACAACACACAACAGCAATGAACACACCTAGTTTCTACTTGTGTTCTCTATTCTCCATGAAAATCCCATTCTCCACTGAAAGGAGCCAGGGCAACACAGAGCTCTATTTCAGAGTTGCAGGCAGGAATTCCCACTAATATGGATTAATGAACAAGTAAAAAGGAATTGACATGTTTATGTTTCATAGTAGTAGCCTACAACTGGTTTACAAGGGTGAAAGAGTGATTTTCAGTGGAGAAGCCTGGCAGGCACCACCTTAATAAAGTGATCAAAGTGTGGTCCATCAGTAATGGGACAAACTGAAATTCTCTGCCTCCTGATAAGATGGAACAAGAAGAACACAGTGTTCTTTTGAGGTATTCTAGCCAAAGATGCATAAAATTAATCTTATCAGGACAAAAACATCCATTAAAATTGAGAAACAGTCTACAAAATCACTGGTCTATAATGCTCAAAAGCGTCAGGGTGAAAGTCAAGTGAAAGACTGAGGAACTGCTCCAGGCCGACAGAGATTAAAGAGATATGACCACTAAATGCAACAAGTGATGCTGAGGGATTGTCAGGACAACTGGCAACACCTGAATAGTGTCTGAGGGTTAGGTGGTCACACTATATCAATGTTAATTTTCTGATTTTGATGAATGTGTTGTGAATATTTTTGAGAATATCCTTGTTTCTAGGAAAAACACACTCAAGTATCAGGGAAAGTATTCAGTCAGTAACTTACTCTCAAATGGTTTAGTAAAAAAGTGCTTTGTAACACTCTCTGACTCTTTGTAAGTTTGTGATTATTCTGGAATTAAATATTTTATTTAAAAATGGATGTAAACCCTATAAAAGCAAAGATTTGATTCTCTCCCCTGAGGGCCCCTACAACAGCGGACACTTGATGACGGTCTGACAGGGGATAGGGTGGTGAGAGCACCTCTGTAACAGGGATCAAGACCCTATCCAGACCGTAAGTCTAGGGAGAGCAAAATAATCAGAATTATTAAAAAATTTGGAGATAACTGTCAAAATAAATGACTAATAAAACAGCCTGGAAAAGAGAAAATTACTATTATAGCTTTTCTGTATTATTTGATGGTTTAATCAAGTATTAAAAAGTACCAAACTTTGGCTCTGGCTGGTGTGGCTCAGTGGACTGAGTGCTGGCCTGCAAACCAAAGGGTTGCTGGTTCGATTCCCAGTCAGAGCACATGTCTGGGTTGCTGGCTAGGTCCCTAGGAGGGGGTGCACAAGAGGCAACCACACACTGATGTTTCTCTCCCTCTCTTTCTTCCTCCCTTCCCCTCTAAAAAAATAAATAAAATCTTTTAAAAAATTTTAAAGTATTAAACTTTGATTAAAAAATAATATAATGCAACTTCACAGGGAAGTACCAAAAATTTAGCTTAAAAGGAAAAAGAAATATTTTCTTGGATAAGTAACATTTAATAGTTTTGTTTTTTACAGACAATCCAATAAAATCCCACATTAGCTCTCTTTTGTTTACCATCAACTGTTTCCTTTTCAAAGACATGCATAGTTGATTCCAATACTGACTGTAATACAGAAAAGCAAGACACGATGACTGTCCAGCAATCTGGGGCTTCTTACAATAATAATGATATACTCATACAATGGAAAGCTGTGCCAAGATTAAACACGATGTAAATGCCTGGTGTTTTTCCTGCTCCAGTAAAAAAGAAAGGAACACGAATACAAAAGGTATATTTGCACCAGCGGCTCCTGTCAGTAGAAACTCTCATCCAGGACTCTATAGGAGGCATATCAGAATCGGGGGTGAGGCCACAGGCACCAGCGATGGCCACAGGCACTGGGCCATGCAACCTCGGTACATGGATGACCCACATGTCAATTCAGTGGGACAGGAGCGATACCTCCCCATGTCACAGAGGAGGCAGTGGGACTGAGATCCTGACAGTCTCACGTCAGAGCCCATATCCTTAAACCCATGTTATACTGGACACATCTGACCTAGAAAGAAGTTCAACCACATATTAAGTGAAAAACACCATGCAGAGGTATGTATAATAGGATCCCATTCCTGCAAAACAAAAATTGTATGCACACCCTCACATCTGGAAATCTATGGAAAAACACACTCTAAAATTGTAATAAACAGGTATTAAAAATGACAGGTATTTAAAATTTTAATTATCTGTATTTTTCTATGATGAGCAACATCACCAAATTAATTAAAAATAATTTAAAGCACAGGGAATATTTTAGTTGACTGAAGCTTTACTTTAGTTGAGGTTTAGTTGAGTTTAGTTTAGTTTACTTACGATGAATATATGTGAAACATTGTACCCATAGGTATACATACACCCAATGCAATAATAAAACCATGTGGGAAGTACCACAGAGGGTGAGCCAAGCATCAAAGATGCCAGCAGATTTCACCCTTGTCCAACAATTTCAATTCATTTAGTATCCTGGAGATACAAAATTAAAGACTGGGTGTTTCTGCCCTCATGAAAGTCTTTTTCTTATTTGTATGCATCCTGCTACATAAAATAAAAACCAATCATAAATACGTTTGCATACTCTGAGGATAAAGAACAATCACTGGTCCATCTCTGGGCTGGAGTAAACCTGTCCTACTTGAGCATGCACCTGTTATGCTCCTTACATCACCGTCAAACCTGTAAACGTGGACCGCAAGGCAAACCATCCTCATCAGCCAGACATCATGCATTGGTTCCATTAAGAAAAAAGGGAGTTACCACATCCCTTCTAAACAAGCCTCACAACCTTAAGATCATTAAGAGCGTTCTTTACGCTGCCTACAAAATGAAGCAAGCAGGGAGAACTCAGCCGAGATCGGGCCATTGGCCCTGGGTCACCCGCCACACACTTGGGCCATGAATGCTGGAGAGACTGCACCAGGAACCTTAAACCACGGGACTCAGACAGAAGGAATATGTTTCATAATTAAAGCATAAAATAAAACCAAAAATACAAATGTGAATTCTCTGGTACACTTCTGCACTTGCTTTTTACTGTAAGGTTACAGGTGACATTGCTTCTCAGTGGGGAGCAACTCGAGGGACTAGAGAAAACAATGTAGAGAGAGACAGGTGACAGCGTTCCCACTGGCCATGACTGACTCTTCTTACATTGTCATGACAATAACTAGTTTTAAAAAGTATCTGAAACTGTCAATAAACCAAACCTTGTCTTGGCAGTATCTTTGAATTATGAACATGTGGACTTCTGGAAACATAACTCCACATTAATAAGAAATTGAGAATAGTTTTCTCCTGTTCTCATAAAAACAAACTAGCAGCTTTAGAACCTCAAAACTTGTAATGAACTCACTTTAATTAAAATTAAAATATTAAATGCAGAGTCCAAATCACTATCTCTGTATGGGGAAACATCTACACAACTTATATCAAAACACTAAGATGCCTATAAATAAGTTCAAAGGAAATATATATTGGAGCGAGGCTACTCACTTTCCATTCCTTGAGAGTCATTTCCTTGCAAAAACATTGGCCAAAGAGCAAGTGCCGGGTTGAGTTTATTGGGAAAGGGTGCTGACTTTATATTCAAGGCTGGTTTCTCCGAAGAATCAAGGTTTTTATTCTCCATGGGTGACACATAACAGGCGAAGTTCTTTGCAACCAGATCATCATTAACACAAACCTGTACAATTTTAAACATTTCATGAGTATTAAGGCAATATGGCCAAATGACTGTTCAGAAGATATCTCAAAATCAACCACAAATTTCAATCTTCAGAAAAACGATTTTATAGAACATAATTTGGTAGAAATTGATCGCCTGGTTGCTGCACTGGTGATGGTGAGCTAGATACTTCTGACCAACCTTCTTGATAAGAAATACAGTAAGAATTTGCCTGAAACATAAGAAATATCTTCTGCCCTGGCTAGGTGGCTTGGCTGCTTGGAGCATCATCCCCTGCACCAAAGGGTTGCAGGTTCAATTCCTGGTTGGGGCACATGTCTAGGTTGTGCATTTGGGCCGTAGTCAGGGCACGGGAGGCAAATGATCAAAGTTTCTGTCACATTGATGCATCAATCTCTTTCTCTCCCTCTCTCCTTGCCTCTCTCTCTAAAATCCTCAAGTGAGGAAAAAAATATATATATATCTTCTCAAAAGTACTGGAGAGCTGACATGACTTTGCCAGGCAAAGATCTAGGGAGAGGGCAAAGACAAAACATAAATCATAAAAGGAAAAACTGATAAATCAGACTTTATCAGAATTTAAAATTTCTGCTGTTCAAAGGATACTGTTAAGAACAAGCCAAGGACAGAAGAAAATATTTCTAAATATTATATCTGAATGGATGTGTACTCAGAATATATAAAGAACTCTGACCCTGACCGGTGTGGCTCAGTTAGCTGGGTGTCGTCCCACAAAGTGAGAGGCTGCTGGTTCAATCCCCAGTCAGGGCACAGACCTGGGTTGCACATTCAGCCCCTGGTCCGGGCATGTACAAGAAGCAACCAATCAATGTTTCTCTCTCACATCCCTGTTTCTCTCCCTCTCTTTCTCCTTCCCTTTTCTGCTCTCTAAAAATAAATAAAATCTTTAAAAAAATAGAATTCTCAAAACTCATAAAGAAAACAAATGACCCATTAAAAATAGGTTGATGATAATCAAAACAGCATGGGGAAGCACTTTGTGAGGTGTCTGTCTCATCACTGTGTTGTACACACGAAACCAATGCAAAGTGATACTGAATGAAATCTGTAAAAAAAATAAATTTTAAGCAGTATGGTACTGGCATGAAAACAGACATATGGGCCAATGAAACAGAACAGAGAACCTGGAAATAAGCCCACACATGTAACTCAATTAATTCATGACAAAGGAGCCAAGAATATACACCGGAGAAAGAACAGCACTTTCAGTAAGTGGCAGTGGGAAAACTGGAGGGCCACATGCAAAGGAATGAAACTGCACCGCTATCTTTTATCATACAGAAAAATTAACTTAAAATGGAGTAAGGACTAAATGTAAGACCTGAAACAATTAAAACTCCTAGAAGAAAACCTAGGTGGTAAGCTCCTTGACATCAACCTTGGCAATGATTTTTTAGTTGACACTGAAAACAAACAAAAACAAAAGCAAAAATAAACAAATAGGACTACACTGAACTAAGAAGCTTCTATACCACAAAGGAAAGCATCAACAAAATGAAAAGACAACCTACTGAACTGGGGAAAATACCTGCAAATCATGTATCTGATAAGGGGTTAATATCCAAAACATATAAAAACCTCATATACCTCAATAGCAAAAACCACAAAACAATCCAATTCAAAAATGGGCAGAAGATCTAAGTACTTGAAAATAAAAGGACAACATGGATATATCTTAAGATAATGCTGAGTGACAGACACCAGGCAAAACGTGAGAACACCCTGGGACATGGCCCTGCGCCACCTCTGACAGCTGGAGAAGGGCTGCGGGCCCTCCTTCTTATTTTCTGGCAATTAGGACTGCGTGCATCCACTGTGAGACCTCTCTGCTTTCCTGTCTTCCGAGCTTCACCATCCCGAAGTAAGAGCAAGCTGTCATCCACATACAGCCACATGCAGGGAAGAGAAACCTGCTCTTGAAAAGCAAGAAGCAGCAGGTTAGCAGAGAGCTTGTTGAAAAGATATTTTACAAGACTGATCCCATAGCCAACATTTTGGCATTTTTACCAGGTAGTAAATAAGTAATGAAAAGTCACAGTAAAATGAACAAGAATGTGGGGGAACCCAAAATACAATACAAAAAGTAACAAACTTCACTAAAAATGAATAACATAACTACACTGAAGAGCTTAGGGGGAAAAAAAGAACAAACCTAAGTTACTTTGGAAAACAATGTTTTGGCTACATCCCGTAAGGCTTAAGACACTTATTTTTTCACAGGCATGAGGGTTAGCAACTCTGAAATTAACTTATGTGAATACTAGGAGACAGATGTCAAGAATGAGGAAAGGGGAGATACTGGATTGAAATCAGAGGTACCAGAGCTTTTACTATATGCACAGGTGGACAGATCTAGGAACAAATGCAGATGCATGTGCACACTGGTTAGCGTGTAGGCAGGTATCTCCTGCCTGTGGGGTGGGCCTCCGGTCAATGACACCCCAGCAGTGCGAGCCCACATATAGCCCTGATCCTGACATCTCAACACCACCTGTCAACAAAAGGAGGTTCCTGGAGCAGTGGTTGATTCTAGGCCTGGAACTGGAAAATGACCAAAGGGCAGGAGTATGCTGTGGAACAGAAAGTAGAAAGTTTTCAACAATGATGGGGAATGTAAGCTACTTCAAAAAAGCTCCTCATGGACAATTCTGTGACAATTTGAGCAAGAAAATAATGATAGTAATGGATTATATCACCCAGAGTAAAAGAAATATTCAGGAGTCAATACTAAAAATAAATGAATTATTAAATTAATTAGTAAATGGGGGAGCAGGGATAGTTCTTCCTTATAGAATTCCAATTTAAAACATAAAAGGCATTATGGAAATGGGCAAGCACCACAAAAATAAGCTTTACATGCAAAGGTAATTGATGGATATTTGCACAGTCTCAAAATACCTCCCTCACAAGATGCTTAATCATCTCAAGAGGAAAAAAACAGTAACTCTTCAGAGGAAAAACCTAGCAGATACCACCTTACCCAGACAACTGAGGCCAACATGACTAGTAATGAGACATACCAACATTGTGAACCTCTTCCTAGGATGCTTTGAGAAGGGTTCAATGTCACTGCTGTAGCATTCTTGCTACAATGTAGAACCTCAATCTAATGAGAGAACAAACTGAGCGGACAGTGTACAAAATAACTGACTAGTACTCTTCATAAGTGTCAAGATGGGAAAGACTGAGGAACTGTTCAATAGACTGAGACCAAGGAGACGAGACAGTCAAATGCAATGAGGGATCCTTGATCAGACCCTAGAACAGAGAAAGGAAATTAATGGGAGTACCAGCAAAATGAAAATAAGGTCTACAAATTTTCTGAAAATAGTATTTTATCAGTGTTAATTTTCTGGTTTTAATCACTATACCATTGGTTCGTATGATTAACATTAGGGGAACCCAGGTAAAGCATGTACAAAATTCGGCAGTATTTTTACATCTCGTCTGTCATTGTAAAATTATTTCAAAATAAAAATTTTAAATAAATGGATGGCTTAGATGACCTGTGGGCCCCAAGCAGCCCACATCAGCACCTCCACCTACCTCCACACAAGGTGCAGAGCTGCACCTGTACCACACTGCATAAAGGTGAGCAAATGTTAACAGCTTATAACTGGGGTGGGGGCTCACGTGTGATGCCCACTTCCTTTCTACTTACATTATCTGAATTCTTTATGATAAGCACAAGTACACATGAGAAAATTATGAAGGGGGAAAACAGTGAGCCATACCAAAAGTATTTATAAAAATTATGGCCTCTTATGAGAAAATAACATTTCATACTCATCACTGTAGGAATAACTTCTTGCCCATTACTAATTAAAATACTGTCTAAATAAAGCACTAAAGTAATTAAAACAGTCTCCCTAACTTCTGAACAAAGCTTTCCTTGAAAGATTAAGAAAATTTCTATGTGAATGACATTGTTTCCCTTGATCATTCTTTATTATAATAAAATTTAAAATAACAATAGAATATTTTAAAAATACAATTATTTCACTTACTTTTTCATTTTTAATAGTTACATAAAGGTAAACCTCAAAAGTATCTTTTTCCACAGCACACAATTTGGCTTCCACCTGGGTAGTTGCTAAGTGGCACAAAAGAAAACATAAATTAGCTGATATTAAAAGTATATTTGAAACAAGTCAGCCATTTCCCACCTATTAATCTCTGCTAACTACTTAACAATTATCCAGACCACAATGTCCAATGTCTTCCTCCCACAGGCAGGCCTTAGTGCAGGTGTCTGGGGCTGGGCAAGTCGAGGTGAGAGTTCTCCTGCACGGAGTCAGGCTTGGATCCTCTGTCCCATCCATGGCCTTTTCCTCCTGCCACCATGTGTCACCTCCTTGAGCACAGTGACTCCCAAATCATTTCTCGTCAGCCTTTCATCTGAGTCCACTCTACCTGCCAAATGCCCACGGAGCAGAGCTCTTAACTACTCTCTGAGACTCACACTAATCCAAACAGCAGCTCTGTGTATGGGAATTTATTGGCCACTATGCTAAGTCCTTTACAAATGTACTGTATTTTGCCTTGTAAATGCACACTTTTTGCCCAAAATTTTTAGGGAAAAACAAGGATGTGCATTATACATGGGAAAAATGGTTACGTAATAATGGGCATAATAATCCCTTGTATTAAGTCCCACAAAAACATGGGTGAGCATTATACATGGCAAAACACAGTATTTCATTTCATTCTTACCGTAAGCTCTGAGGGTCACTGTACAGGTGAAGACCCCAGGCTCAGAGAAGGCCCCACAGAAGCAGCAGGGCAGTACGCAAACCTAAGGATGCTGCTGCCTCTTCCAGACCTCCAGACCTCTGCCTTCCAGCATTCCCCAATGCACTCACACAAGGCCCAAAACTCCAAAACCAGCGACCTTGCCCCCACTGTCCCACTTCTAGATACAAAGTGTGCGGCTGCTCCTCCACCCAGGCAGTGGGGCAGCAGAGGAGAGGGGCCAGGACCCCGACAGGTACAGGTAGCACCGCAGCCCATTTCACACCCACTACTCCTCAGGACAGCCCTAGGAAGCAGGCACAGTTACTTGGCTCTTGGCTGCCAGGGGTTAGGACAGGTGCCACAAATGAAAGTTCATGCTACAGTCAACAATATAAAGACAGCACACTACAGAGGTGGCCTGTGGCATTCTATACATCTTGAATTAGAAATTACGATTACACAGTAACTTAGGTTTTTCACCAACTGTCAGTTCAGCAAAATGTACATCCAGTTATTTTGCAGCGCCCCAGCTTCTATGCAGACTAGGAGTCAGGAACTGTCATTGGGTACGGGTCCCTTGGCCAAACAGCCCCTTTCTAATTTCATCTGTCAATCAATTACCGATGTCCACATCCAGCCCCAAAATTTGAGGGCTGCACAGTCTTTGTGACATTGGGGTGCAAGAAGCCCTAGGTAACTTATAAACCCATGAAGAGGCTCAAACAGCTAAGCACGCACATCTCAAACCCCTCCCCAACCCAAGGTTAAACCACCTTGGGCATCAGTTCAAAGCAGGCCGCAGAGATTGCGCACTCGCCTCACCTTTTAGAACGTTCTGAAAGTACTGAATAGCTGCAGCATCCCACTTCTTGGCGCGTCTGCAACAGTGCACAGATGCAACTTCATTAATTAAAAATTGAGGTTAGTACACTAACATCACTTTGTAAACCACACACCGGGTATTTCTGACACTCCTGTGGAGCCTGTGATGCAGGTGCCAGGTAGCAGGGCTCTGGCTCTGCTCTGAGGGTGCTCCCAGCTGCACCGGCAACGGGCTCCTCCCACTACCGCCACCAGCACCTGTGCAGAGACTCGCCACACCCACCACCATGGCACCATCCGTCCCAACACCATCGTCCCCAGTTACCTGGGACATATCTGTCTCCCCAACCAGAACACAAGCTCCCTGGGACAGGGATCCTGAGTGTGCCGGGTCCGGCACAGGCTGGCACAGAGAAAGGCTCCGAAAGCCTTGGTCAAACCCACACGCCCAGTGTGGCTGTGGGAGAGCCGGCCCCTGTGCCTCACGCTCCCCTCCTTCCACTCCCCTCCCTCCCTCCCTCCGTCACACTCGCCCTCTCCTTGTCACCTGCCCATTCTCTATCATCTTGCCCCTCCCTCTGTTTTGGAAAGAAAATCGCAGGAAATACTGTAGGCAGTGGAAGGACAGGAGGAGCCAGTATTTGGAAACAAGGAACAAAAACAAAATGAGGTTAAAAGTAAAATGTTTTGTTTCTCCACTGGTTTTATTTCTCAGTGATGTCACCACCGCCCTTCAGGGGAGGTTTCAGGTAATTTACACAAGCACTGGGCCCAGTGCCTGGACTAAAATATGAGTTATTTTTATTTTTACTATGAAAGATACTAAGCATATTACTTCAAAAGAATTACAAGGGGTTTCTAAAAAATAAGACAGTGGTTCTAAAATCTTGCTACACACAAAATTACCTAACAAGTTTTTTTAAAAATAAAAAAGACTACCTGGCTGGCATAGCTCAGTGGATTGAGCGGATTGAGCGTGGGCTGCAAACCAAAGTGTCGCAGGTTCAATTCCCAGTCAGGGTACATGCTTGGGTTGCAGGCCATGACGCCCAGCAACCGCACATGGATGTTTTTCTCTCTCTCTCTCTCCCCCTTCCTCTTCCTCCCTCCCCTCTCTAAAAAATAAATAAAATCTTTAAAAAAATAAAAAATAAATTAAAAAGACTAGTAGAATCCTGATAGAAAAATGAATTAGGCAATGAACAGGTCAGTCAGTCTCTCTCACACGTAAATCAATCAGCTTGTGCATGTGTCTGAGTGTCTGTATGTCTGACACACACCACACACAGAATAAGCACATGATAGGTACACTCAAGTTCACAGGTCAGAAAAATACAAATTAAAACAAAGTATCATTTTCATCCAGCTAATGAGCAAAAATGAAAAAGGCTTTTGCCCAATGATATTCAATGTTGTGTGGGGAAAGCAGCACTTTCTACACCCAATGACAGAAACTGCTGGTCCTTTTGAGGGGAAATTTGACAGAATCTATAAAAACTGTAATATGCATATTGAGTCACATTCTATATGAAGGGCACACATGAAAGAAGGTGATCAAAACCCAGTAAGATCACTTACTTAAAGCCCTTTGCCCACACTGAGGCTGTCCCAGGGCTGGGTGTGTCCAAGGCTGAGAAGGTCCCTGAGGAGCTGTGTGCTGGGAAAGGGGCAAGGCAGAGGGGGTGGCAGGCTGCCTCTGAGGGAGGGCTGGGCATGGAGAGGTGGGCACCCAAGTCACCCCAGGAGGGTTAGCAGTGGCTGATCAGAAAGAGGGACAAGGGAGGAAGCAGGGTTGCTAAGCGACCTGGCAGGGTGCAATGGCCTCATCAGAGACAAGTTGGTTTCATATCTTCCTGGTGCAGATTCCAAGGCCAGCCACAAGAGTGATGCATTCACCATCTCAAGGCAATTGTAGGCAATGGGAATTGGAGGAGTGGGAGCAGGAGGGACTCCACAGATCCCATGAAACATTCACAAGAGGGGCAGCTTCTAACTTCAGAGAACACAGTGCAGCATCACCAGCATGTGCAAGTGGAGCAAGCTGAGTCAGAGCTGTGCTCCTTCTGTAGCTTTTCTTCCCACAATGCCACAATCTAGGAGGGAGAGGGGAGAAGTCCCAGGTGGAAGAATGGGACTGCCCCTAGGACCTCAGGTGGTGTTCATTTGACACAGCAAAGATCACAGCCACACTCCCAACATAGTACTGCCCAATGCAGAGACTTGTTCTGTATAAATGCTGGCAATGGTGCCAAGTACTATGGGGAAAAAGCAAAGCTGGGGTGTATGTGATGTGTGTGTACGTGCGTACACGTATGTATACCTCTCTACATCTATATATTTTATATGAATGCATCTATATTCTGATGGAAATGTACAGTGCAAAATGGTTTGGAAACAATCTAGCTGGCTATCAAAAGAGGAATGATTAAATACAGCAAGTATGCCGTTCTATTCACCCATGGGAAAGACTGAAAAGTAGAATGGAGTACTAAGAGCTTCAACATACATTAAGTTAAATTTGCAAATAAAAACAGTAAGTTCTAATTTTCATTAAAAGCTCCACGAATGTGCATGTGTACAGAAGCACTGCAAAAGGTCTGCAATTTCAGAGCCTAAACAGGTCACAGGGGGCTCCTAGGTGGGAGGAAGTGAGGCTGAAGAAGAATTCAACAGACTTTGTTTTAGTGAGCCACGATCCTACCTATTGTTACTCTCTACAGTTAATTTACTACTTTTTGTTAGTTAAAAATAAAAAAGCCAAAACACACAGAGTTCAGGCCCTACTCTATACCCTCCACTGCAGCCTCGGTGGATGGGGCTGCTCAGGGAACCCCGTTCCCGACAGGGAGGATGCACATGGACCCAGAACACACCTCCTGAGGAAAAAAGAGACCATGAAACCGCTCCGCACCTCTCAAGAGGAATTAGTTCCCATATGTATCATATACTCAGTTAAGACTTTCACTGATGGTTAGCATGTTAGCTGTACTTACACAATCTTAGCACTGTCTTCGCAGAAGTCAACGTGTAATGTAACAGGCTTTGTGCAGTACAGTCTGAATTTTTTTGCTCTATAGGGAAGCTGCATAAAAGTTTCTACTGCAACTCGGATGCTTTAATAGTGAAAGAAACAGATTATAAAGAAAAATTATACGTAACATTTCTTTAAAGTACACCAATATAATTAATACACAACATAAAAATAAAACACACAAAAACAAATTATCTGTTTCTAATACAGCCACCAACAAGAAATACTTGGAGACATTTGCCCAAGGTAATGAAAATTAGTTCCGGTGAGGGGTGGAAATCTTACTCTTCTATGTATAAAGCACAGCTACACGTATAGTAAATACACAGATATTCAGTATATCTTTGCTGTGAAAATTTCATGGCAGGGGAGGGATTAGAAAAATAATGTCTAGTGAGACTCCTTAGGTTGAGGAACACAGGGTAATATGATCAAACCTGGGAAGCAAATTCTATTTAAGAATTTTAAGTATCAATTTTAATACATGACCAGAATTATCTTAAACTTTCTGTAAATGAGCAGCTGTTTTAATAATTAGTGTTTGCCAACTTTGCACAAGAAAGCTGAAGGGCTAAAATCTGGTAAGTTGGTCAACATTTTTATTTTCCTTCTTTCAGGCAAATGACAGATATTAACACCATCTCAGCATAAACAGGTTATGAAGATGCACACATGGCTGTCTAGACACCGTGTGTGTGTGTCTCTCTCTCTCTCTCTATATATATATCCCCTCTATACACATATTCTCTCTCTCTCTCTCTCTTTCATCTGAGGATACTTTTTCCACTGCTTTTAGAGAGAGAGAGGAAGGGAGCGAGAGAAACATTGATGTGAGAGAGAAGCACCCATTGGCTGCCTCACATGCACTCCCAGACCATGCCTTCAGCAGGGATCAAGGATCAAACCCACGACCTACATGTGTATCCTGACTAGGAATCGAACCCACACATTTCAGTTAAGAATGATGCTCGAACCAACTGAGCCACACCGGAGAGGGCATTTTGTCTCAGTTTAGAAAAACGGTGGCTGCACTAATTGCCCCTCAAGACCTCCTTGTATTCTATTTAATCATGTGATTCTCTTTGTCCTAAACAAGCTAAACTTAAATTATCAAATACTAAAAGAAAATATCCCCAGTTAAGCACAAGTGTTTTTAAACAATTATGGTTAGAAAGATAGAGAACCACAAGCTAGAAATGCATCTTTTTTCTTAAGTATCTGCAAATTCCCAATGTCTGATGAGCTGCTCTGCCATGAAATTCTTAAGACAATTCAGTAAAGTAAATCTCTTACTGCAGTTGAAGTCTATTTGCTGCTGCTCTTTTGGAAGAAGGGTCCTCATATTTATTTATTAAACTGATATCCTCTTACCCTGGGATAGGAAACCATGAAGAAACTACCACAAACACTTGTTCACAGCCTTTTCTAACGAACTATGACATGCAGTACTGGAATCAATGAGGGTTCATTCTGCACCGTCTCCCACCATACGTGACGGTCACACCCTCACTTTGCTAGGCAAGACAACCAGGAATGTGTCCTTGAATATATGCTCTGCTCTCTCCAACCTGAGGCTACACCCCTTCAAAACGCCCCTTCTGTGGAGAAAGGAGATTGTTTCTGCCTCCTGGTAGCATCTTTCTTGCAGCCAAGCCTCCCTAAAGTACCTGCCTGGACACATGAACAAAACCAAGAGGCCAGGTGAGGCGAGCACCTGCCCCTTCTGGGCAGGAGCGGGGAAGAAGAATGGAGCTGCCTGTGAGTTTTTATCCTGACTGTTTGTTCCTACATTCACTGCATGTAGAACTGGAACCTGAAGTCTTTAAGCCTTCCCCTTTTTGTTTTTTAAATTTTATTTTAATCATTGCTCAAGTACAGTTTTCTGTCCTTTACTCCCATTCCAGCCCATCTACCCAACCCTCCCCACCTCCCTCCTATTTCCACCCACCCCTAGTTTTTGTCCATGTGTCCTTTAAATTTGTTCCTGTAAACCCTACCCATTCCCCCCTGAAATTCCCTCTTCTCTCCCCTCTGGTTACTGTCAGTCTGTCCCCTATTTCAGTGTCTTTGGTTATATTTTGTTTGTTTCTTTGTTTTGTTATTTAGGTTCCTGTTAAAGGTGAGATCATATGGTATTTGTCTTTCACTGCCTGGCTTATTTCACTGAGCATAATGCTTTCCAGCTCCATCCATGCTGTTGCAAAGGGTAGGAGCTCCTTCTTTCTTTCTGCTGCATAGAATTCCATTGTGTAAATGTACCATAGTTTTTGGATCCATTCATTTACTGATGGGCACCTAGGTTGCTTCTAGCACTTAACTATTGTAAATTGTGTTGCTATGAACATTGGGGTGCATAGGTTCTTTTGGATTGGTGTTTCAGGGTTCTTAGGATATAGTCCCAGCAGTGGAATTGCTGGGTCAAAAGGCAGATCCATTTTTAGTTTTCTGAGGAAGTTCCATACTGTTTTCCATAGTGGTTGTACCAGTCTGCAGTTCCACCAACAGTGCACTAGGGTCCCCTTTTCTCCATAACCTCTCCAACACTTGTTGTTTGTTGCTTTGTTTATGATAGCCATTCTGACTGGTGTGAAGTGGTATCTCATTGTGGTTTTAATTTGCATCTCTCTGATAGCTAGTGATATTGAGTATCTTTTCATGTGTCTCTGGATCCTCTGTATGTCCTCCTTGGAGAAATGTCTGTTCAACTCCTTTGCCCATTTTTTAATTAGGTTGCTTGTCTTCTTAAGAGTGGAGTTGTGTAAGTTCTTTATGTATTTTGGAGATTAAACCCTTGTCTGAGGTATCATTGGCAAATGTTTTCCCATATAGTTGGTTCTCTTTTTATTTTAATACTGTTTTCTTTAGCTGTGCAGCAGCTTTTTATTTTGATGAGATCCCATTTGTTTATTCTTTCCTTTATGTCCCTTGCTCTGGGTTATGTATCAGTAAAAATGTTGCTGCATGAAACATCAGATTTTCTGCCTATGTTCTCCTCTAGGACTTTAATTGTGTCACAGTTTATACTTAAGTCTTTTAACCACCTTGAATTTACTTTTGTGTATGGTGTAAGTTGGTGCTCGAGTTTCATTTTTTTGCATGTAGCTGTCCAGTTCTCCCAACACCATTTGTTGAAGAGACTGTTTTTATTCCATTTAGTGCGTCTGCCCCCTTTCTCAAATATTAATTGACTATAGAGACTTGGGTTTATTTCTGGGCTCTCTGTTCTGTTCCATTGGTCCATGTGCCTGTTTTTATGCCAGTACCAGGCTGTTTTGATTACAGTGGCCTTGTAATATAGTTTAGTATCAGGTATTGTGATCCCTCCTACTTTACTCTTCTTTCTCAAAATTGCAGCAGCTATTCAGGGTCGTTTATGGTTCCATATAAGTTTTTGAAGTGTTTGTTCTATGTCTGTGAGATATGCCATTGGTACTTTAATAGGTATTGCATTAAATGTATAAATTGCCTTGGGTAGTATGGACATTTTGATGATGTTAATTCTCCCAATTCAAGAACATGGTATATGTTTCCATTTGTTTGTGTCTTCCTTGATTTCTTTCTTCAGTGTTATGTAGTTTTCTGAATACTTGATATAGAAAAAAGAAAATAAAATACCTAGGAATAAACCTAACTGAAGAGATAAAAGTCTTCCCTTTTTGAAGCTAAAAAAACCCTCCAGCTTAAAAGCTCTAGCCCCTTACTTTGAAAACTGACACTCTCCTTTAAAACTGACATTTGTCTTCTTAAAGGGGAGGCAAAACAAAATTCATACGTACTTTTTCAATTTCACTGGAATGTACTTGGCAAAATCCACAAGGAAACACTCTGCCAGGTAATGGTCTGCTGAAGACACAATCGACTTAATGACAGCCCGGCACCAGCACCTGAGTTCCTGACAGTAAACCACACACACCTACACAGTGAAAAGACGACATTAGCGTTAAAGCCTTTAGCCACATCATGGGAGAACTAAAAGGTCTTCTCAAAATCATCTCAGCCTACACTTCACCTTTCAGAAGAGGAAAGAGATTCAAGGGGGCTGACCCTGCCTTGTCATTCTTGGGGGGTGGAGGCATAACCCTAAATCAAATCAAAGCTTTACATTTCTCTATCAGACCACAAAAAATACAGGGGACAGAGGGCAATTTCACCGCCACCACCACCAGGAAGCCATCAGGCTACCCCAAATGTGGAATATTGTAAAAAGACAATGCCTGCTTTCATTTCTAAAATAAGTATGGAGAAAATACATGTGATTAATGATGATTTTTTAGAGGGAAAGGAATTTATTTTCAATTTTTCTCACAAAGAGTTTATAAATCTTTTCCTATTGTGCTATTAGAAAAATTCAAACTCTTCTGAGAAATAACGGTATGTAGACAGTCAGACAACAGGACTAGGAGTTGAGGCTGCAAGAAAGGGAGGAGGGGCAAAGATTCAGGGTAAGGGAATTAAGGAAGCTAAAGGTGGCTAAAGTCATGAGCAAACCAAAAGGGAGGCAGCAGCCCTAGACTGAAAATCCCCATGAATCCAGAATAATCCCTCTGGTCCCTAGCCACAGGAGGATAGTCCGAATGCCTGAATTGAGATGACACTCCATCTCTAGTTGGCCCATATGAACCTTATACAATGACTGCCACATTCAGGATTAGTCTAAATCTTGTGCAACCAAAACAACTTACTAGGCAATACTTATAAGTAATCAGAATACCCCAAAAGCTTTTATCATCTTAGTTGCCAAAATATTCTACATTTTGAGTAGTATTTCAAGAAATGATGCTTAAAGCACATTTAGATACATACCTGCCCTTCCTCCAACATTAATGGTTTTATTTCTATGTCTTGACTCATGGTATTATAGAAGTCATTCATGGCTCTATTAAGTTTTTGATAGTCAACTTCATGATCTAAAAAGGGACTACACCCTTTTATAATAACCCAGAAGCAACCTGGATCCTCAATCTGTAAAATGTTTAAAAGACAAACAAAACAATGCATGATTTAAAAGTAGAACCCTAAAATATGAAACCTTAGAGCCACAATGACTTTTTCTAATTTAAGCTGATCTAACAAATTCTTGATAAGCACCCCTGTCATAAATGGTCAAAATAAAAGACCCTTAACATTTATATGTATCAAATCATCAGGCTGTACACCTTAAACTTACATGATGTTACATGTTAATTAAATTCAATAAAGCTGTAAAAAAGACAAAAGACACAAAGACAAAATCCTAAAACATGTTACCAAGGACATGTAATTCTTCATTACATGTTGACTCAAAAACATGTATGTAATTCTTCATTACATGTTGTGACTCAGTGTCCTTGAGCTCCTGTCTTTTGAAAATATCCATAATATGTGAAAGCAAGGTGCAGAACACTGTTTTTAGTTTCCGATGTCTTTCATTACAAAGAGAAGATACATTCTGCTCATATTAAAAGAAATAAATGATGGCAGATAAATGAAATCAAATACAAATTATTACCGAAAGGGGAAGCCAGAAATGAAGTGGAAAGCACAGGGATGAAAGTCAGACTCCTTTGAATGTATCTTATCTTACAAACTAAAATTTTCATTGTTGAAGGTAGAAATACAAAATGAAAAGTTAAATTTCAATTGAAAATATCAATAGGAACTCATGTTGAAAGGGCCTAAAGCAATGACATCCCAAGATTTTGGATTCTAGGTGCCAGGTGGCAGGAATACAGGTGTTCCCATTAGCAATCTATTTTTCTGAATGTTGGATCATTCCAATAAACAGCTGGAGAAAAAGAACAGCTGGCCGTCTGGTTCCAGTAATGGCAAAGTAGTTTATACAGACTAATCTTGCAGCCGACAATTATAAATCCTGGAAAAAAATACAAAACAATCACTTTAAGACACTGAAGAGATACCAAAAGCAGGTAGAAACTGGAGGGGACTTAATTCTTCAGAAGAGGACCCGTCACTGAGTGAGATCCATGTCTCTATGCAGCTTTCTGGAGAAGCCTCCTTAGTCCTGCTGGTGCAGAGCAACTACAAACTCAAGCAGAAAGCTGCACTGTCTGTGGCTTGAGGCGCCAGAGCAGCTGTTAATTAAGGGGAGACATTCTGAAAGACAGCCACAGAGGGAAAGGCCTGAAGTCAGCATCAGGAAACCCGTCAACTCCTTGGCAGTCTCTGAATGGCACAGGTAAGACTCCAAGGAATCCAGGGAAAAGCAACAATTGGAAGGCTGAAAGAAATAGTTTTATAGCTGCCGCCCATGAGAACTCCACACACAGGCTCGTCCCAACCTCCACACTAAGAGGCCACCCAAACTCTAGTGTGGCTTCCAGCAGCATAAGGCTCGATCCCTGGGAGGACCCCCGTCCCTCCAAGATGCCTACCTGGGGAAGCTCAAGGCTCCCAGGAGAATTCACTGTGTTCTAGCCAACACCTGACAGAGGCCCCTGCCTTCCCATTACTAACTGGCTTACAGCTGTGAATCCTTCCTGTCCTTTTGAGATGTATGTAACCCCAGAACCAGCTCAAACCAGCCTTATCCTGTTTCTAATTAGATCTGAAGTTGTTTTTCAGGGATAATGGGGAAAAAACTGTTGCCATGAAGCCAAAGCAAGTGCAAAGGAGAGTTTTGACCTTTAGTAAGACTCAGAACCAAAGTCAACCCCCAAGGACGCAAAGAGCTAGGACTTGACTGAAACTGGATCACTGGAATCCTTTCAGAAGTGAAGGGTTCCTTGTCCAAAAAGATCTCTGGCTGAATTCCTCCAAATGAAACGTGCCTCACTAGCACTTCCACATACCAGCCCATCCTTCTCTATGCCCTTAATTTCCACCCCAAACCCTCCATGGGGGTGGGGGCAAATTTCAGTATTGCCTCCAGTCTCCTAGTCAGTGGACCTCGCAATAAAGCCTTTTCTTTTCTCTAAAGCCAAAGTCATGGTATTGGCTTTTATGCACATGGGCAGCAAGCCCTTCTTGTCTATGCACCTCCTAGTACTCAGGGGAAAGTCTTCCTCAGGGTCTTAAAGCCATTCCTTTGAAATGTAATCATCAGGAGGAATAAGGCTTTCATCAAACCTACTAGAATGGATAAGATTTGTAAAACTGACAATCTCTGCACTGATGAGGAGGTAGAGCAATTAGAACTCCTACAAACTTCTGACAGGAATGAAAAATGGTAGTTACTTTGGAAAACAGTTCTCATAAAGTTAAACAGGTAATCACAGCCTATTTACCCATGAAATGAAAACTTGTATTCACACAAAAACCTGTATGAAAAGTTTACAGCAGCTCTTTATAATCTCTAAAACTGAGAAACAACTCAAGTGACCTGCAACGGGTGACTGTATAAACTGTTTATTATCCACGCAATAGAATACGACTCAGCAATATGAAGCAGAAACGGACCTGTCACAACATAAATGAGTCTGAAATGCATCATACTAAGTCAAAAAAGTTGGACTCCCCAGTCACCTCTCCCTCCAGCCCCTTGCAACCACCCTTTTAATTTCTGTCTCTATGAATTTGGTTACTCTAGGAAACTCATGTAGGTGGACTTATAACAGTATTTTCTTGGTATGTGGCTTATTTCACTTAGCATGTTGTTCTAAAGGTTCATCCATGTTGTAGCCTGTGTGAGAATGTCCTTCCTTTTTCAAGTTGGAATGATATTCCATTGTAATGTATATTCCAAATTTTGCTTATCCATTCATCTGTTGATGGACACTTGGGGAAAAAGAGTTCACCCATGTAAAGGCTAAATTAATCTGGAGAACCACAATTGCCTACTTGCACCAAACTTGGGGTAATAAATACTCCTATACTGGATAAAAGTTTGCTCAGTGTCAGCATGGTAAGAGCAGACAGCGGGGGCAGAGCACAGCTGAGGGGATAGATAAAAGGGTCCCCAGATCCAACTAACAGAGAGGGGTTCCCAAGCTCCAGGCAGTGAGAATGCAGCTCCTCCTGCCAGAGTCTTGCTCTGATGGACTGGCATGTGCAGGATCTGTACCCTCAGGAGAGCCCTACCTTTCTAAAGGAGAAATGTTACTAGTCCATTTTAGGACTGATGGTGAAGAGGAGTTTACCAGATGGATCTGAAACCCCTAAAAGTCTCTGAGCAAATCCTCCATAAGCGTCAGTTTGTGAATCTCAATTCACATAAATACATGACATAAAATAGAAATGGAAAGTTTGGGGGTTTTTTTTTGTTTTTAAATCCCATCATTTGTTAGGGCCCTCTCTTCTTTCCACTTAAATATGATTTTTAAAACTTATTTATATTTCCTTTTCCCAATAACAACAAAAAAACCCCACTCCTTCGTAAACTCCTTCCTCCAAGTAACAGGGCGAACAGAACATGCCATCCCAAGTCTCTGACATTGCCAAGGAGCACTCACCTGACTCAAAGACGAGAAGCTGCAGCAGTCAGTCCCTGCTCAGCAGGTCTCACAAGAATGAGCCCCCACCGTGACCTGCCCCCCAACCCCGCCCCAAGCCCTGCTCCAAGGACCAGAGATCGGTAGGGAGCAGCAGCCAGAGTACCGGGGCACGAGCCGTCTGGAGTCCCCACAAATAAAGACAAAACATGCGTGTGTGCAGGGTTCCAGGAAGGGAGATACAGGTCACCCCCACCCCTGTCCAACAGGGGTGATGACCCACTGGACAGGACCCATGTGAGTGGGGGGAGAACGGGTCAAGATCCCCATATCCACGACCTGGGGCTCACAGGAACCCCCAACCAGCGCGGACCCAGGTGGGCTGTGTGGGAGAGGGGGGTTACCGTCTGTCCCTTCCCCTAAGGTTCTAGAGTTAGTAAATACAGGCCACACAGTTAAATCTTAATTTCGAAAAACACATAATAACTTGCGCTATATCCCAATTACTGCATGGGGCACCGCTAAGCTAAAATGTGTTGCTTTGTTGAAATTAAAAGTTCGAGCCCTGGCTGGTGTAGTTCAGTGGACTGAGCGCGGGCCTGGGAACCAAAAGGTCGCCAGTTGGATTCCCAGTCACGGCACACGCCTGGTTCGAACCAGGTCCCCAGTAGGGGGTGCGAGAGAGGCAATCGCACATTGATGTTTCTCTCCCTTTCTCCTTCCCTTCCCCTCTCTTTAAAAATAAATAAAATCTTTAAAAAGAGAGAGAGGCGTTGGAGCTTTTGTCCAGCGCCCCTACCCGCGGTCAAGACAGGCATTCCAAGCCAGGCGGACCTGCACGCGGATGGTTTGAGTTGAGTCAACCGCCAGGCCCCAGGGCTTTGCGCTCGCTCACCTTCAGCACCACTACCTCGAGCATTCTTCCAGCGCCTCGCTGGCCGCCCCCGCGCTCGTCCTGGGAGGTTACGCACCGTCTCAGCCGCTCCTGTTTCCTAGTCTTCCCGTGAGTCTTTCCTACTCACTCGGAATGCACTTTGGGGGCGGAAGTGGAGCCTCTAGCAGTGTTTGCCTCCGTGGGTGCCTTGCCTCCACCCAAGTTCGCTAACACGGCTCCGCGCGCCCAGCTCCAGCACCCCAGGTACACAGCCTCGAAGCCCAGGCCCGCCACGCACCACGGGTGACGCTCTCCGTCCTCTAACCCGGCCGCCTCGGCAGGCGCGCTTGGGGCTTCAACAGACCCGCACCTGCTCCTGACTCCAGGATTCCGAAAACCACGTGATGCACCAACGGCTGGGACAACCGCCCACGCTCTGCGCACAGCGCCCTGCGGCGGGGCGGGGCAGCGGGACGCAGGGGGAGGAGCTGGGACGCACAGGCGCTGAGCCTGCAGGGGTCAGGTGCGAGGCGTCAGGTTTTGGGGTTTGAGTGGGTCTTGCACCTCCGAGGACCCAGGGACTCTCACGTCCACCTTCTTACCTGTGTGGAGGGGCAGAGTGGCCGCCTGTGAACCGAATTAGTTCGTAGTAGTCATCCAGGAGGCCCTGACCTCCAGGGAGGAGAAAAACAGAGCTAAGTAAATGAAGCTCACCTGTGGCTGAATTCCACTAATCAGGCCTCACTCCCAACGGAATCACCTGGCAGTGCCAAGTCACCCAAAAGCCCCAAGTTAGCTGACTGACCTTGGGATAGACCTTGGGAATACCTAGCAGCTGCCAAGTGAGTTCAGTTGGGGACTACACCTCACTCTCTCTTGGCGCCAGTCACTGGCTGTGCCCAGGTGGGGGAAGGAAACAGATATCTGGTGGGTTGATTAGCCCGTTACTAGGTAAGTCCCTGGTTTACAGGACCAAAAGCTCTCTGCCCTGCCATCTTGGTTCTTTTGAACCGTCTGGGATACAGTTGGAACTGTAATTGGAAAAGACACCAGCGTTCGGGCTGCCTGTCACTACCAAATCCAATAAGCAATGACAGCGATTGAATCTTTTCTGGGCACTTTATTCAGATGGCCAGCGATTCGAGAAGATGGTGGGTTCATACCCTAACAAAGCCATCTTCCCCTTTCTTTCCTGGCCAGATCTTTTTATAAGGGGGATGGGGAAGGACAAACAATGTACGGTGAGGACTTTGAGATTTAGCAGCTGCAACATTCCTATCCTGGGCAGTTAGCTGTCTCCAAGGGGGAGGGGTAGTCACCTGCTTCTTCCTGGTACAGATGTCTCCGGGTGGTAATCCCTAGCCAGTGCCCCAGGAGGTTGGCAGCTTTTCCCAGGTGCCAGGATGGGCCTTATCTGTAGTTTCTGAAATGAAAGCTTAACATAACACATTACCTGCTAGATTTATGGCTATTTACCTTAAGCTAAAATTTTCCAAGTCTTGAGTACCCTATCAGAACCACTTGGTGTGTAGCAAGACTTTGTGATGCAAAATCCCAGCCGCCTGCACCAGGACCTGTTAAGATTACTTGCTCTGTTCTCATTGTATATGGACTTTTGGTTCCAGTTGTATATATATATTTTATGGGTTTTTTTTCTGTGTTTTTAGTGCCAATATAAGTCTGCTTTGTAAAAAAAAAAAAATGGCATCTTTTCTGGTTCCATCCTTGGCTAGCAACTATAGGAGCAGCAGCATCTACCCTGAAAGGCAGTAGTCTCACCCACATTTTAGCCAAGAAGAAAATGTTTTGATTGCAGTATTGCCTGGCCCATGTATATACTTGATTTGGGGGAGAAAAGTAGCCCCTGAGTGAATCTTTGAATTATTATACTTGAATCCTTTTGTCAGGTTCTGGAAAATGGGATGAAATCCTATGTGTACAGATCTGTATGTCTCTACATAATCAGGATGCAGCACAAAAAAAAAAAAAAAAGAGAGACAAGTTAATGGTACAGAGGGCAGAGGAACCTAGAAAGCCTTCCCTACCAGACAGTAAAATTTGGGAAGAAGAAAAATAGAAAATGAGTCTTTTAAATACCCTAAATCCTTCACTTGGATGCCTAGGAGCTGTTGCAGCCCTGGGAACGGGTCAGGTGGGGGGCACTAATGCCACGCCATGCAGAAGCAGCCAGGCTGACTGCCCCACCTCAGTGTGAAGGGAAAAAATGGTGCTTTTAAACTCAAGCTGTTTTCCACTCCCCCACCCCCCCACCTCTTCCCCCACCCCCCCGCCTCTTCCCCCACCTCCTTCAAAGTTGTCAAGGGTGCTAGGTAATTAAACAGCTCACTTTTGAGTCCACTAAAGGAATGCAATAATCACCAAGAATCCAAATGGGTAATTGATGTCTTTTAAAATTGTTAGCATGGAATATATATTTGTTTTTGCTTAGTTCAGAGAAAAAGTTCTTGTTATCTCTGTTATGCCCCTTAAAAATATATGTACTTGCCAATGAGGGAAAAAACTGTTTCTAAAAGTTATGAAATATGTTCACGAAGTTGTCAACTAAATGTTAGAAATGCACAAGAGGTTGGAGAGGTAGAGGGGATGTGGACTTGGATGGGCCCTTGTGGTGTTGCCACCTCCTGGAGGGGTAAAACAGGCTGAGGCCTGTTGGACCTGGTCCTTCGAGGGGAGGGATCTGAGGTAGAGTCAGGAGAGGCAGGGGATTGGTAGTCTGAGATCCAGGCCCTGGCCTGGCCCAGGGAGAGTGAGGAGGGATGCATAAGGAGGAGGAATAGTCCTTGGACAGATCAAAAGATGTTTCTGCCTAGGTACTGGGAATAGGCAGATGTTTCTTGGGAAGGGGAGAGCTGAGGAGAAGGAGTTGGTAGGTGGAACAGGTCTGGCTTAGGTAGGGGCACCTGCGCAGCTCAAAGAAGGCCTGGACATATGGGACCTCACTCCACTTGCCAGGACACTGACAGAAATTGTCAAGGTCTGTGAGGATTTGAGGGTCGAGTGTCCTGTTTTCTAGCCAGATGGATCCACTATCCAACTTATATTTCAGCCAGGCAGTGTTACAGTAGGAAATAAGTCTCTTGGGTTTTAAGTTCATTTCTATGCCTAGATCTTTCAGCTTCTGAGTAGACACCCCAAGGGAGTGTTGTGGGGAGGCAGTGATTGGCTCCTGACCATTATAAGGAATAAGGTTGAGGGGAGAAAGGAGCACGTCCAGTCTCCCTACCCTAGGACAAACAGAGGTGTCCCACCCTCCAGTGTCTTAGGGTTGCAACAGGGAAAGGGAGGAGAGGAGGGAGGCATCCCACCATCCTCCTCACTCCTGAGGGTCCAGGACCTCTCAGGCAGTGACTCTCACCCAGTTTGGAGGTTTTCTAGATGTTTTCCAGGACAAAAGCAGAACAGAGAAGGAGTGCCAAGATGAGGGAAAGGGATATACTCCTTACCCTAGTTGATTTTGTCAGTGTGGATGCAAAGGTCAGGCAAGTGGGCTTCCCCAATCATGGTCCTCCTGGGTTTCACCACCAAAATGTTAGAAATGCATGAAAGATTGAAACAGGTGGAGCCAGATAATCTGAAACAAGTGCCTTTATGTGAAGCTGCACCTAACAGGTGGGCTGAGTCTGGACAGACTGCAGCCAGCAGAGGGAGGCAGGAATGGGGGTTTTAAAAGAAAAAAGCACAGAGTTGTGGGTGCGGCAGGATAAGGTAGGGGTCAGTCTCTTGTTCTCCTGGACTGTTGCCTCAGGATGTGTGAGTCAGGACTATGGGTTAGGTAAAGGTCCAGGCTGTTCCCGGGTGCCGGAAGGTCGGTCTGACTTCCAACCATTGTGACTGGCATCAGATGTCTATGTTCAAGGTAGGAGAGAGTTTCAATTAAGCTGCAAACCTTGGGCATTCAAGTGGGTTGCGATAGCTGACTCATCAGCAGTCTGGCAGTTCAGAAAACTGGGCTGACGCTTTCACTAAAGAATGCCATTACTTAATTTAGTTGCTACTAAAAATTAAGGCTTCTAAGAATTAAGAATTCTAATTAAGTTGGAAAAAAGTATATGGTTTTGGTAACATAAAATTGAAAGTAAGTTGTTCTTATTTCTGAATGTGTTAAAAGGAAATGGAAATGGCTGTGGAAGTTGCAGAGGGTCTGTGCGAGTTGCAGAGAGTTTGTGCAAGTTAAAGGACTGTGAAGACAGAGGAAGTGGAAAAAGAAAGAATTGACAGGAATTGATGAAAATGATGAGAAAAAATAAAAGAAGCCTACATATTAAAGGAAGAAAGGATATTGGAGGAAGAAACTCAGTAACAGGAATGGAAATGGGAAAATAGAAATAAAGAAATGGAAAGGCACCTAGATAGATGGCAAAACGGAGTGGCGATTTTATTAAAAGCCTGGGAAGCTCCCTTTAGTTTTTTGAAACCAGTTGTGATTTCCCTACAAAAACCCCAACTAAAATTGTCAGGGGGAACAAATTAATTGATTTCTTAGTATGAAATAGCTTTCACTTGTAATTCTGAGCATTATCTTAAAATGTTGTTATAAAAAAAGCAAATTTCTTTGTCAGCTGCATTGTCATCAGATCTGTAGCCATGTCATTTTAAATATTTTTTGTCCCTTAAGGACAGTCATTGTTTTACTCTGATGCATTTGCTAAAATGTTACACCTTCAGAGAGATCCACGGAAAGGACTGTGACTTCTTCTAAAATATGAATTTCTGAGAATAAATTACAGATCACACATTTAACTAGATAGACGTATAGGACTCTAAGAAATAACTGAATTCACAGAAATACTGGCAAATAACCAGGATAAACAGGAATTAATTATGGGCTAGTGTGGCTCAGTTGCTCAGGTGCTGTCCCACAAAGTGAAAGGTTGCAGGGTCAATTCTCAGTCAGAGCACATGCCTGGGTTGCAGGTTCAGGCCCCAGCTGGGGCGCATATGAGAGCAGTTGATTGATGTTTCTCTCTTACATTGATGTTTCTCTCTTTTTCTTTATTTCTCCATTCCCTCTTTCTAAAATAAATAAGTAAATAAAATCTTTTCATGTTTGGAACCACCCTGCCTGGTTTCAGAAGCTATAACCCCCCATGGCTAAGGCTAAATAAGAGACCTTGGGATTATAAACCACTAAGGAAACAAAGTTTATCACCCTGGCAAGGGCACCACCTCTGCCCCCTTTTCCTTTACCCTGCTTGGTCCTGGGCTGATGACTGGTTAGCCAATGATGGGTAAAATTCCTCAAGGGAGGAATGACCTAAGACAGGCATGGTCAAAAAGGGGCCCTCAGGGAAGGACTTGGGGAGCCATAGAAAAAGGGGGTGATGATCTCTCACCCCTTGGCTTTGACATAGTCTGAGTCGTCATGCTGTCTACCAGAAGTCTCCTAATCTTGACTGCTTTAGTTCCCCTGCCTGACTTAAACCTGAAACAATGCCAGGAGTGGGTGTGGCCCTGTGCTGGAAAGGGCTGGTTCCTGGGGTGATTAGGTCTAAGAAGGAATTTGTAAAATCCCGTGAAATCTGCTTTGCTAATACTCTCAATTTAAATGATAAGGATCCAAGCATAGAATGAGTTTGTTTCCCCAAAGTTTTATGGCCCTTTAGCTATCTGACCCTGACTCAGAATAAGCCCTCATAGTTCTTTGAATGTTATCTGTTGTTTGATCATTACTGCCTGACGGTGATTAATGAGCTTTACCTGTATTCCTGTACAAATTGAACCCAATAAGAGCCCATTGAGGAACAGGCTCCGGGCCCTTCTTTGAGAGATCAGCCACTTTTCCTCCCCAAGCAGATCTTGTCTTGGTAGACTTATTCTCATCCGAGGCATATGGGGGGGCTCTGTGGGGAGGAGCCCCCCCCACATAGCATTAGCCCTAGCCCAAGCCCTAGGGGTAACCCTAACACTAATGCTAATCCTAAATCTATCCTTAACCCTAATCCTAATCTTAATTCTAATCGTCAAAATGACTCTAACCCTAACACTAACACTAACCCTAACCCTAAACCTAGTCCTAGCCCAAATCCTAACACTAACCCTAACCCTAGACATAGCCCTAATCCTCACCCTAATCCTCACCCTTGCCCTAGCCCTAGTCCTAGCCATAGTCCTAGCCATAACCCTAAACCTAAACCTAGATTTTTGCCCTAGACCTAGATTGAGCCTTAAACCTAATTCTTACCCTAACCCTAAACCAAATCCTGTACTTAATCCCAGCCATAATCCAAGACCTAACCCTAACACTATCCCTAA